CCATCAGGGAAAAAGCATAGAAGGAAACCATCAACACAAACAGCCCCCAGAAGCCTTTTCACATTTCCCACCTCACATCTGCCAGAATGGCAAAATCATGTTTGCAAACAACAAGGAAAAACTGCCTTAAACATGTACTTCCCAAAACATGGAGAATTAATTCAGTCTGCTCTGTCAATGCCCCTCAAAGCATGTGAGAGACAACTGGCAATAAATTTCCTCAGAAAAATGCCAAGGCCTCTACTATGGAGAGCATCAACTAAAGGCTGCAAAGATTGTCCAGCTCTGGCTGCATTTATCTTCCTTTCTCACACTTTCCTCCATTTAGGGCCCTACTGTTGCAGTCCTTGGACTCGTTAACCATTTCATTAAGGGCTGTAAAAATGCAATGAGATTCAGGGCAAGGTTTGACAGCTTCAGGAAAGCAGTGGCCTATACAAAATATAACTGATGATGCCCTAAGGACCAGCATAGGCAGTCAAACTAAATGGGGATGTAAGTGAAATTCTCTTCCCTTCCACCTTGTGTACTCTGCTTTACAGGAGGCAGTTCCTATGCTGACAGGCAGACAGTCCTCGCTACAAAGTAAAAGGACAGCAAAAACTGCCTCTTGCAGCCAAGGGCAGAGAAAGACTGGAAATACATGTTCTCTGTGTTTGTGATGATTCAGTTTAGGCAGAATACCTGGGTCAGAGCTCAAATGGTGTAAACTGCTGAATCTCAGAATTTACATTAGCTGAGACTCAAGTGTAGTAAGTATATTTTAATTAAACATCTCAGCTCTTCTGATATTTTTTTATATTAAAAAAATCTCAAACCTCCAAACAACCTCCAAGGGAAAAATGAGGAAGCAAAAACTGATGGGACTTCTTTAAAATAATGGTGTGAGTCACTGTTACAGTTCAGACAGGAGCCCACATCTCCTGAGCATCAGTACAATATAAATGATGCGAAAGCAATCCCTGAAATTTGTTGAGCTAAAACAGCTTAAGGAGGTCTGAACTGTCCTGTGTACCTCAGACCCAGGGCAGACACCTTGAAAGTCAAGGGCATATAGTAATAGCACAAGGAGTAACAATTTTGAACTGGAAGCAGGTAGATTTAGGTTAGACAGTAGGAAGAAACTCTTTAGTGGAAGGGTGGTGAGACACTGGAACAGGTTGCCCATGGAAGTCGTGGATGTCCTTCCCTGACAGCGTTCAAGGCTGGGTTGGATGGGGCCCTGAGCAACCTTATCTAATAAAAGGTGTGCCAGCCCATGGCAGGGGGAGTGGACCTAAATGATCTTTAAGGTCCCTTTCAACTCAAACCATTCTGTGATTCTATGATTATAAATTAATTGCTGAACAAAATGTGCTAAAAAAGGGCAGTAACACTCTTCTGTCAAGTTCAGGACGGTGTACTGAAGACAGAAGGCAGGGAGCTTTAAAGAGCACTTCAAAGAAAAGCACACTGAAGCCATGTATGAGGCAACTGAGTTATTTCAGCCAGAGCTGACAGCAAGAAGACAAAGAAAATATTGGAGGCTCAGCCCTGCCGCTATATGGGATTCAAATGTCTTTGGGCCACTCAAGCCAAAGGGATTCCTAAAGGCATTTACAATCTATCCCTTTTAGTTGGAGCTTATTTTGTACATGTTTTTTAGAAGACAATTAATAACATCTTTATACTTCAGTTTAATCTTAATGGTGATTGACTGCTGGCGCTAACACCAAAACATTCAACACAGTAAATAACAAACAAACAAAAAACCACCAAAAACCCCAAACAAAACACCATGTCACTTACTCATAGTACCTCTTCTGTGGTACTATCTTAAACTGAAGGCATTAAGGAAAGGATCTCTACTTCTTGGTTTGATTTTGTTATAGTGTTCATTCAACTAATTTTCTAGCAGACCTATCAAGCCCCAAGAGCTGTACAGCAGCAATGTGATTTAACTGCAGGAGAGGAGACAGGCCTTGTCAGGGCTGGTTAGTACACTAGTCTCCAGCAACTGAGTGGATTGACATGGTTCTGCAGAGGACACATTGATAGGAACTAGGATAAACAAGATGTGGAATCACCTTGGTAGGTATAGGAAGTATACCAGGAGTTTCTTCCCACGTGGCATGACAGATAAACATGCCAACCAATAATGTACGACAACTTAGTAGAGGACATCTGCAAGCTATTCGGCTTTGAAAATACATTCTCACTTGTTACATGGATAAAGACCGAAATTCAGGAATACCAAGAAATACAACAGAGCTTAGAAAAGATGGTACCTGCAACTGTGCAGAAGTAAACACAACAGTCTACCGGAAAAGAAAAACGAATGTGATTTATGAAATACAAAAGGCCAAGGTGTAAACTCCACAACTCCACTGGGCGCGGGCACCCAGGTATTTTCATCGGCCTCGGGGTGGGGTGCGGGAATGTTGCTCTCTCCCATCTGTACCCAGACACTATTTCCTTCCTCACCAGAGGATGGCAGCACAGAGATAGAGCCTTTCGATAGTCAGCAAAGCCTGCGGAAGGACGACCAAGATACAGCACTAGACAGTACATCAAAGCTAGAAGAAGGATTAATTAGGCATTCGTAGATGCAGGCCACAGGTGCTAAGAGGAATACTGCTATCAACAGCCTGTTCTAGGTGGGGTCCATATTTCAGAAGAACAGGCAAATAAACTTCATGGAGTGACCTACTTGCTTGGTCTCTGCTCGGTTCTCCTGTGCAGTCTTTTCTTAGCATGACCACTGTCCCCATTATATGGAAGAAACCAGTCCACAGCCTTCCCTCACACCCTGAGCAATGCCTCTCAACAGAAGCATAATTCTCCTGTCAGCAGTAGACACCGTAGACATCTCTTCCCAAGCCTGGTCTGTCATGTAACAGATAATGTGACCCAAAGCCACAATGTCACCCAGAATGATATCCTGTGTACTAGGGACTGATCAGCAACCACTGCCCTTAGATCTGGCACTTGGAACCCCTGGCACTGAAGACCCTGTATTTATTAACAGTTTGGAAAACTATGGGTGACAAGTTAATCTGCTAAGAGTATGCTATTCTGTCACTGTTGGCCAACTGTCAAAAACCCTAGACAACTAGACAGATGTAAAAGGACTAATTTTATAAACCATGTTTTACAAAACTCACCTTATTAAACTAAACAGGAAGAACTGAAATCAAGCTGAAGATGTTACCTTTGATTTCTTAGGATCACCACCCATAAAAGGAGCTTGTTAGCACAACTGTTGATTGATCCACCCCACAGCACATGCAATGAATCTACACCTGACAGATTCCATAATTCTTTCACCAAAGCAGCATTATGTTTGTGTTAATTAAAAAGGAAAAACTTCAAATATGGTAGTAACAAAGGAAAGTTTCTATCGTGCTACCTCACCTATGGCTACATTTCTCTTCAGCAGGCATGTGTCTCAGAGTAAATATGATAAACACGACCCAATTCCCACTGAAGTCAAGGGAAAGTCTGCTGATGACTGCCATGGAGTTGTGTGTAACCCAGTTCTTGGCATCCCCACTCAGATGTTATATAAAAATAACAACCAGATCCCACTGCATGGTGGGGTTTTTTGGTTTTCTCGTTTTTCTTTCCTAAATTGTTTTTTCATTTGTCTGGGGTTTTTTGTTTGGTTTTGTTGGGGTTTTTTGCATTTGTTTTTCCTTTGGTTTGCGGGGTTTGTTTGTTTGATTGATTTGTTTTGTTTTGTTTTTAACAGGGAATTCTAGCTGCAAATAAAATAATTTGGATCCGCAGACATCACCTTCCATGTATTATGTGCCACAGGGCAGCAAATTTTGGCCATTAATAGGAAGTCCACTTCTGAGTAATTACTGAGGTTAAATTGTGAAAGTAAGCTACATGTCCTCTGAAGACACTAGCATAAATATCAAGACAACCTGATTTGGGCAAAGTCTGAAGAAGACAAACTGGTGACTTCTTCAAGTCCAGATGCCTAAATATCATGGGGATAACCTGATGCTAATCACTCCATATTTTTTTTCTAAAAAAACTTAAATGTTCTGGCAGCAACAAGGAGTAGTTCTTACTCCCCAAAAGTTCAAGAGTATTTGATACAAATCTTGCTTTTCTCTGTAGGCACCACTTTCCCATGTCCAGCCTTTCTGTTACTAGAATATATGTATCTGATTGGATGGATCATCCCATGGTTTGGGCTTGCTGGATAGGAAGCCAAGCCATTTTCTCTAGGAAAACGTTTAATGTCTTCCCTTCTGAAATCAAACTAGGAAAATGCACGTTTCTGTAATGAAAGCCAAGAGTAGAGCCAGTGTCCATTAACTGTCTAAAGGTTCCAACTCCAACATTTTCCAAGTGCATGACCTGCAATGATAACTGTTGAGTGTTTCTGAAGTGTTACACAGCCTATACTGGTAAAAGAGGAGGTGAAAGAAAAAGATTCTATTAGTGCCATGAAATGTAGGAAATCACTTCTTATTTCTAGCCCTTTCTTTTTCAGGATTTCTAAGAAGACATAGCTGGTGAATTCTCACTTTACACAAACATCTTCTCAACTCCAGAGCACAAGAATAAGAGAAAATTCTCTTACAAGAAATGTCTGAGAGCTTAATTCCAGCCTGGCAAAAGCAAACACAATTCCACTGACTTCAGTGGAGTTACAAGTGGCCTATTTAATGTACAACAGAGTAGATTTGGCCCTTCTCCCATACTATAGCACTTATCTCAGTAGTGGACAGCAAGTATGGAGCTTTTTTTCCTGTTTAATATCAGGTTCTTCTGTCAGTATCACAGACAAGAAACTGAGGATTTGCAGAAGCATATCAATTACTGCACACTGCATTTCTCCCTCCCACAGTTTCCTACATTAAACTGGAATCATGTATAAGCATATTGAGAGTCTCAGGAAGAACTTGTTCTTCCATCTAAGCCACCTCAGCACTACAGCAGGTGTGCACTGACTCTCTTGCTAAAAGCACACAGAGACACACAGACAGAAGAAAATTGCTTACTGTTTCGAGGCTTCTCTTCATCCATGCCTTCATCTTCATTTTCTGGGTCGATATCTTCTGCTTGAGTTATCCAGTCTAAGTATCCCTTCAAATCCTCCTCCAGCTGTTGTTTTTCCCGTAACTTCTGGAAATCACCCCGAGCCTTAGCCTTCTCTCTTTCTTTGGAAAACTCCCTAGCAAGAGGGAGGGAAGCAGGGAGAGGACATGGGCGGAGGGAAGGAAGAGATTGAAAAACAATGGGTTAGATTGATTTCCATCAGAAAGGCTCCACATCCTGTGTAGCACACCCAGCTTTCTCTACTCTTTCAACAGACAGACACATCAATGGAGTTTCCTTGCTAGATACACATGTAGAGCTGGAGTGCCCACATTTTAAACAATGCTTAGGAAAAGAAGAATACCTTTTTGTAATTGTTTAATTCTCAACATTTGACTGAAAATTCAGATAAAATGCATATGTAATACTTATGTACAATACCATATACTTTCTAGTATTCTTTCCAACTTTGTATTCTCCAACAGTTATTCGTAAATATCTATATGAATAATGGCTAATTTGATTCAATCATGAACTGTATGACAATAATTTGACATCTGGAGAGTGAGATGGTGGCTCTAACCTTTAGCCAGGTTTCAATTTGTCTTTAAGATTATATGCATAATCACAACTAAATTAGGCCAATTGTAAGTGCAATTAATGGTACTCACAATTCTAGACATGTTTAATTATGGGCAATTTCAGGCACAGTACTGGACAATATATTTAAAAACTGAGTCCTCAGTGTTTCACTGCAGAGAGGGCTGCAATCTGACATGAAACATATTTTTCAAATCTCAAGCTGGGGAGGCAAACATGAAAAATTGCAGCTAGACAAAACAAATAGATTCTGCCAGAGAGTGAACTAGGTCTAGGTATGTGATAGTTTTACTGCCAATATAGGCTTAAATGAAGGGCATAGGAACAAGAATTTAATCTTGCATACTTATGAACATGGGTGCTTGCTTTGCCTTCTTTTTGGCTGTGGTGTTCTTTCTTCTTTTCTTTCAGGGACCCCTATATTGCTTTTTTTTTTTTCTGAAAATGCTGACCTGCCTCTATTTAGAGACTCTCCTGTAGTTCTAAACCAGGTTTTAACACTTTTATTTTAAAGAGTTAGCTTAATGACTGTGAAAAGTGCTGGATCAAGAGTGCTTAAACATGAAGTCTTCTATCTGCTGAAGCAGATCACTACATAAGGCACACACAGCAGATAATATGGCCTACAGTTTCTAGAAATGAGAGGCAAAGTCAATATGGCCAATCCATTACCTTTGCTGATGACTGTCAGCAACGAGTAGATTTTTTTAAAAAGCCTTCACCTAATATTTGCCTCAGATTTGCTCCTGCAAAAACAAATAGGAAACCTACCACTAATTTTGGTGGGATAATACTAGGATTATGAAAATCCTACCCAAAATGTTGGTAAGTGCCAGATGAAGTGTCCTCAAGCAACTCAGATGGAGGTAAGTTTCTAACAGTGCTGGAGAAGTAATTCCCTTCTGTCTGGTCCAAAACCCACTGAAAGATTTCCATTGACTTTACATACTTTGGTTCAGGCTTTCAATATTATGAGCTGTGCATGGAACCAGAACTGCAGCAGAATAAAACCAGGATGATGCTTTCATTTCAAGACAAAGTATGTGACAAAGTATGTCTGTGTCATCTTCAACCCTGTCTCACTGCTGAGGGTTTAGCTCATCTCATGGGACTGAGATAATGAAGGTGGAAATGAGGAAGAAAATCACTGGCTTCTCAGGCCTGAAGGTAAATCACAGTCAACCCTGGAACCAGACTTAGCCACAAGGCAAAAACTGCTATTGCAGGCATGGCAAGAATGAAAAATGCAATATATTCATCCTGGGAGCAACATTTTGCTATTTAAAATGTAAAACAAATAAACAAACAACACTCCCAACACTAATAATAAAAACTGTACGAAGAATTTTAGAAAAATTCAATCAATGGCAGATAATTTTCTGCTTCAATAAAACCTTTCCTCTGAGTCTGACATTTTGGCTTATCCAAATTAATGAACTGCCTCTCCAAAAAAAAAATAATATATACATCACTGAATGAAGTTATGTATTTGATGAATCAAATCCCTGCATTTAAACTGTTGACTCCTATACTGGTATTTTAGAATCTAGAACAAATAGGTCCAATTTTAAAAGGGACTGAGCCCTCAACTCCAAGTGAGAACTATTTATATTTGTGTGGATATAACTTGCAAGGGGCTGTTTTAGAAACCAAAATGGAAAACATCATGAACCAGCCCAGCTTACAGAAAGTGAAATTCCTACTTTCTACTGAAGTGGATCATTTATGTTAGATGCATCTAGACTGCATGCCTACTTGGGTCTTTTCAGTCCCCACTTACTGTCCCTCTCCAATGGGACCTGGGCTGAGGGGTGAGCTGACCAAGCCAGTGTGAGATTTTAGCATGGTGTCTTTACACTGACTGTCTGCATAGGAATATTTGTTACTTTGGTTTTTAATGACACAACTGAAAATACTGATTGCCTAGTCTAAATGATCTGCAATTTCATGTCTCGTTCCTTTGTACAGTGTATGAAACTCTACACCTCTGATGACTCTCCAAAGAAGACAACTTATTTGAATTATCTTCGTTTCTACACTCTACTAACATTAAACCATTGAGAACAGATGGGTCAGAAAACTGCTAATGCAATTCAAACCACCTCCCAGGTGGAATGCCAGCCTGTATTCAGGCAGATGCAGTTGATAATCAAGAATTACTATCAGTGGTCATTTACCATCCCATGTGAAATGAGTTGGTGACCTCAGTCCAGTTTCTTTTGCAGGCAGGCGTGCACATTACCTCTGCCACTGTCACTGATGGCAGTGAACAGTCATGGTTTGCAGTTGCAGCAGGGAGGTCAAGGATCAAATAAGCTTTCTTATAGAAGTGCCATCTTGAGTCTGGAGGTGGCCTTCTCAAAAACAATTGCACTATCAGGTCAGAATAAGGTCCACAAAGGCTTGCAGAACCGCCAAGCAATCTGTCTCTTCAGTTAATAAGAGAACATAATTTTAAGAGTGTGAATCTGGTTGGTTTTGGCAGATTTCAATTTGCTTTGCTATCCTTTACCTTTACCAGAAAATTATATGAAATGTCTGCCAAGGAGAACACCAAAAAGGAGAGTATTCTGGAGAGGTGTTTTCTCTGTCTGATGTTAGGATGGGTCAAGACCAGCTCTATATCCTCTACTGAATAAAATTTCTTTTGCCCATTCTGATGAGGGAATATATTCTTGTTTATATCTGATCTCAGTATGATTTCTCGCATTTAGAGGAGTGATGGAAAATGAGCAACCCAGCAGAATTCTAGCAGTTCATAACTCCTGCTTACTACTAAAAGTGCAGCACAAGGCTCCAAACCTCATCCACCCTAAGAAGTATAAGAAGGAAAGGGAAGGGTTGGAAGAAGGGACAGAAGACTAGGGAAAAGTCCTGAAAGGTCACAAATAATGCTCCAGGAGGAGCTACAAATACAGCCAGCCTCCCATTCACTCTGACCTCTTCCTAAGCAGTAAGAGAACCAAAAGCATCCAACTTGGTTTTCCAGTATCCTTTCAAGGCAGAAGAAATGGCTGTTCTCTTACCCTCCATTTGCCCTAGGCAACTGCTTGTTTGGCCTGTGTCCTAGGATTTGGATCACTGCTAAGCAAAACAGAAATGTGAATCTAGCTTAGGTGTGCAGGTTTGAAAGTTGAATCCACACTGCCATTTTTTTTCCTCACTAATTGACTGAAACTGATTACACAGAGGTGAACACTTCTGATCTCAATAGACCTATAGGAGAGGTTTCACTGCTTACAGTAGTGATGTGGAAACCTTTTGCTTGGGCTTCAGGAAGTCTACTGTGTGATCTGCTGACTGGATATTTCCTTTGGAATACAGGAATTTTATATGGAGCTTAGTCGGGATGGGAAGAGGTTTATAGCTCTGCACATGCATACTCTGTCATACTCCTTAGCTTAGCACCTGACTAGTAAATTCACCAGAAAGAACATTAATAGATGACATACCCACGGAAAAACAAATGACAAATGACTCTTTAGGCAGAACAGAATTCAGTATTTGATTTTGCAGGTGCAATCAAGGTGTCTTTGTGAGTACAATTAATTACATTTATGTATTCAGCAGTGATTAAAAAAAACCCCAAGCTAATCTGTCATTGACAAAGTCTACCTACTCAACATGCTTGGTGCAGTTCCTGAAATAGATAAATGGAAAGAAATCAGAGAAACCCAGAATGGATATGCAAAGATGCCTGGGAATGCTGCTTTGTATCTACATAGAACAGGCAGGTGGATCATCTACATAGGTCAGACTAACAGCACTAGCAATTTTCAAAAGAATAAAAAAAAGGCTGAATCTGCAAAGTGAAGACACTTTGCAACTCAGCAGATTTTAGAACTGCTTTAGAAAGGTAATTGTTTAAGAACTGCTTATTTAGCCCAAAGACAATTTGGAACATTTCTCCCATAATTTCACTGTTTTTTTCATGGATGCAAATTCTTAAGCTTCTTTTTACTTTTCTCCAGTTGGGAAAAAAAATGCCGAAGCAGTGCAGCTGTCATCACGCCGTGAACACAGCCAAAAAGTGTGACTCAAGGCTTAGACAAAGTGAACTTCATCTTTGATTTCAGTTCTCTCTACAGAGTGATTCCATCTCTTACCACTAACTGTGGTGGTATAGTTGCAGTATGTCAGGAGCTGGAATATCTAGGCCCCACTTTATTGAATTGAAAAATGAGGGAATTCAATATTTATTTATTTACAGACACAAATCCAAGTGTAGATAAATTGACTCAGCAGTGCTTCAACATTATGCATTCCTCAGAGCTGGGCTCCCAGGCACTGTTTATTCAGATACTACACAATCTTTAACCACTGTCTTACAAGGCCCTTGACTGCATGTCTGATATTTTCCCTCTCTCTGCCGGTCATGCTCTACTACTGCTAACATCCTTACTTGATGATCAGTGTATCCACCTTGACAAAGGAGGAGCTTATGTTTAAAGTTTTAAATTTACATTGCCCACAATTTTACATTTTAAAATTGTACCCTGAGTATCACTCTCCAGATGTCCAAACACAGACAATTGTCTGACACTTCACTACTGGGGATTTTTCCCCACTCCCATTACTGCCTGGAAACCCTTCTCTTTGCAGCAGCTGTCATAGCAGAATGTATTTTTCAACAGAGTAATGAAGATAGCAGTAGTACCTCCTGTAGATCTGCTATTACTTCTCTCTTTGCAGGATGGCCAATGGTGGATCTTCTTCTACAGTCCTGCTTCTGCCCTTCCTATAGTATTGTACTGAGGACATAATTTTTGAGAGATCTGAAGTCCTCTCTATGGCTCAGAGATCATTTTCCCTCTCATTAAAAAGTTAGGGGACTTCAGGGCTGCCCCCTCAGGCAACAGGTACATGCTCTGACCAAATTAATTGAAAGTTCATTAAAGGAGGAAGGATGTTAGAAACAAAGAAAAGATGGATGCAGAAAAGTCCTGACATCATATTTATCCATGTACATAGAATGGCTGTAGGCATTCCATCATGCCCAAATATGGAATTAGAAACCTAATTCTAAGAGATCTTTTTTTAAAAATCTTGAGAGGAATGTTTGCTGGCTTGATTCCTCTAATTATGTGCCTCCCCAGGGGGAGTAAAGTTTTTAACTACTGGGGAAATATAAATTGTTTTTAATCAAAGCTACTAAAATGATGCTTTTCAGGGAGGGTTATGCTGTAGAACTGAAATACACCTAAATGTCTAGATGTCTCAGAAATGCTTAAGCAGTATACAGAACTCTCATGATTCTCTGTTCATCCTTAGAAAAGCTCAGAGGGAAATGATCATTTCTCCCTGCATCATGCTAAGCTTGTAATCTGCACAACAGAGATGTGCTTATTGAAGAAGAAATGTGTTCAAGACACTCTTCAGGGAAAATAATCTCCCATTAGGCTGTGCTTTAGCTGCACTAAGCAATGTGACAGTTCTGTATGTGAGGAGACAAAATTTGACAGGGATCTTATTCCACAAATGTGAAGGGGTTTTTCTCATTCCCCCTTCAGTCCCACTGACTTTTCCAGAGACTTTACTATACACCCTTTCTTCTCTGCTTCACCTCCAGGGGACCATAGCATTGTCTTCTTCCCAGGTAGAGGTTTTAGATAGATGAACATGTTACAGGCAAAGACTCATCTTGTATTCCTTTGATTTAGTCAAAAGACTCCTCATGCCACTAGGAGTGCCATATTTTGCTATTGGCACAGCAATAGCCTAAGCCTTCTATTAACATTCCTGAGATGGACCCAACACTGCCCTTTGTTTTAGTAACCAGAGAATAGGAAGAGAAATACAACTTTTAAAAAATAAGCAATAATAAAACATTTTCCTGGTACTGCTTACCCGCTAAGTACACCGAGAACCAAGTTAAGTACAAAAAATGACCCTATGATGATTAGTGTAACAAAATAGATCCAGGGCCAGTCCCTTCCTATGGCATCATTGACCTGGAAGAGTGGAATGATAATTAGTGAGACAAGCTCAGATTCTGAGCACTGCAAGGCTCCAGCCAAAGAGATCCCAAGTCACCAGCAGTAGGATTTTCAATAGCCAGTTTTTTTTTAAATTTATGACAAGTTGACATCAGCAATTTTGAATGCCCTGAGGGTGAATTTCTTTGTCAGAGAATAACACCTCTTTTGTTACCTGCATTGTTATTTGTAATGTCTGAACATATTGTCAAAATATTTGAGAGCTGATGTGAAGCTTCCTTGGATTCAGATTTTTAATCCCTTTGAAAGAATCCTGGTGACAGGGAAAAACCCTTATTATGGAGTCTTGCCCTGTAGCATTGGAAAAAGGACACCAAAACTGTCAGCTTACCCGCTCAACACACCAAGAACCAGATTTAGAACGAAAAAGGATCCAAAGATGACCAGACTGACAAAATACACCCATGGTAACTCATAGCCCATAGCGTCCTGCATCTGGAAAGACGAAGGAAAGTTAGAAGACAGAGAGGGAAAGCAGAAATGATTAGGCAAAGGAACAGATGGAAAGATTTGTAAACAGAGCCTGTGGTTGGTCTACACATAATCAGAACAAGTGTTTCTGTAGGTTGCTTCTGATGTGACCACTCCTTTGATTGCTTTTTCCCTGTAGCTGCTTCCTCATGGTCAGTGATCAGCACAGGCTAAGATATAACCATGTGCCATACTCACAATTCTTTCAGTGCTTAAAGCTGTGGAAGGTCACTTCCTGGAGTTTATCACAGCACCACAAGGGTCTGATGACCTCTAAACTTCTAACCACTGCACATATGTGTGACCCTTTGCTGCGAGTGAAAATACTGCTATGTTAAGGATTGCCGCAATGTTGCCAGATCATGTTTACTCCCCAGGTGTAGCACAGACACATGTACCTCAGAGCAAAGCGTGTAGTAACCGCTAGCAAATACTTATCTTTTGTTGACAATGCTCTGGTAATCCTCACAGTTTAGCACAGGGAGGGCAGTAGCTGTATACTGTTGTGGAAAGTCCTTTCAAGGCCCACCATGTTCTGACCTGATAAAGTGTTTTCTAAAGCTTTCTCACAAACTTGTCTTCTCTCCTTGAAGAATGAGTTTCTCCTTCAAAATCTGATTCCTACTCAACTAAATACTCAGAGAATTTGAGACTGTAAACTGAATGACATGAGCATAGGTCTAGCTTTCACACTACCACAAGCATCTGCAAATGAAGCAGGCAGACTATTGTTTTAGCACCAGAACCTGGATTACGTGTAGAACAACTCTAGCACATAATAAGATACTGTAAAAATTCTAAAAACATTTAGTACAAAACCACTGTTTTAAGTCTCCTTCAAAGTTCAAAATTTTGGAAAGTTCATGGATACCTTAATAGAATCTCTCTTTCATGATAGTATAAAAAATATCAGTCCCTTCTTCATTACTTCTCATAAACACTCATCTCCTGAGCCAGACAGAGCATCATTAAAGAAACAGATGGCGGTTAACATTTTCAGGAGCACTACAACTATTTATGAACATAAACTGCAGATTTGGAAGCATCTAAAGGCATAAAGCAGTCTAGGTTCCTTTGTTTTCCATGCTTTTGAAAATTTTATTGTATGTTGTTCTCTTGTTCCAGGAAAATGCTTTCTCCTTTGCAACCTAAGCATTTGTTGTGATCACAGAAGAAATATTTTTCCATACATGGGCACTGAGACACACTTCAGGGGAGGTGATCTGACTCAAAATCCATAACAACTCAGGAAAGGAATTTCAGACCTTCAGTAAGACAAGGCAGGACAGTAACACTAATATAATCAGTTCTTTGCAGGTGGAAGTCTACTATCCATTTTTCTTTAGAACTACAGTCACTGAAGTTCTTGTCTGGCAATTGTCCACAGTCAATGGTCTGATCCAGAACTCTATCTCAAGGCTCCTTCAGCTGTGACTGAACTGCAGTAGACTCATTAAAAAATAAGCTCAAAACCTGCCACTGTGAAAACAGTTCATCAGCTTCCTCTCAGGTTTAATATATTTGGTGGTCAGAAGAGAGTGCCTGAAAATCTAACATTCCCTAAGCATGTTAACCGGTTTCCTTTTTAATACTTTAGTAGAATTGTTCAGTTAGCTTATAAATAATACTAGTTATTCTTTACATTTGTAAGACACCTTTCCTCCCACATGACCAAAATGTAGACACTTCTGACATGAAACACATTAGTGCTTTAAAGAGAACAAACCATCATGGCATATAAATTGGAAGCAAATATTCACCTGAAATCACAGTGGGGAAATCAGGTAGGGAAAATGTAACTGCCTACACTGGAATTTAGTAAAGAAACAAGACTTAACATCTCCTCTCTTCAACAAAGAATGCCACTATCTGTATAAAGCAATCCACACAAACAATGAGTATAGATGACTTTGAAAAACTGCCACAAGAATTTACCAGTGCAGGCACAGCAATGACTCGCCTTCCCTCTAATTATGATAGATGGTGACAAAAAATGCACCTCAGCTGTACAGTATTTAACTAATGACAGGTTGGTTGTTTTTTTTTTTCTGCTGGAAAGTAGAACTTTTTAAAGCTGTGGTACAAGTAAATCCTAGGTAACAAAAGCCAGGGTGCTGGGAATTCAGGTGCATGTCAGGGGTCCTTCTCTGGAACAAAGAAATTTCCAGACAGCAAAAATCTTTCATCATGGCCTTAGCAAAGTATATAACTAGAGTATACTGACTAGAGTACTCTGACTATTTCCAATGTCTGCACAATTGCATAACAATTGTAACAGCTAGCATCAGCACAAATTAATCCTGAAAAGATAGACCTGCATTCTGCTACAGCAGGGCATTTGGGACTTCTTAGACATTTAGGAGATTGGCTTTTCATCTCCTTTTTACTGCCCACTCATATACGTAACAGAGAAGCTGAGAGGGAGAGACAGTGATAACTTCTCAGGTGTACAGAAACCATTAGTGTTTGGCAAAGAGCTGAGCTTCTCTCTCTGTTGGTGGACTCCCTATTTTTGGTTCTTCATGTCTTATTTTCTTTACTGGAAAGTGAGATTATTCCATACATTGTGGGACTGAGCCACAGATGACAGAAATGTATGTTATACGTTGGTATAACATATTTGGTATTAAGGTATTTGATAAATTACTTTTTAAAACTCCCTCGATAAGGAGATAATATAGTGTGAGCTTACTATTTGCTCTTGAAAAATATCTGCAGGAGAAATGCAGAGATGTAGGCTGTGTGGCAGAGATTGGGGAAAACAAACAAAAAAGAAATAGACTTAAGCAAAACAGTACCAGCAATGTTTCAACATTTAAGAAACATTACATTATTGGCTATTATTGGCTAAGATTACATCCTTCCAAATATCTGGAAATGCTTCCTCCATAATGGAAGTATTCTAGAAGTGCAGGATGGACTGTCCTCAAGTGAGCAGTGCTCCCAGCCAGTCATCATGAAAAACCTTGCACCTGTGTTTGAGTGAAACTGCTTCCTGGAAACTTAGCATCATTCTGTGAATACGCAGCTATTTATCACATGTGTATGCATACACGTCCTGTGGACTGAAGCTGGAGACTTTCACTGCAAACACAGATTAGGTGGTAGAGCTGATTTTTCCAAATTATGCTACTGAAGTGGAGAAGCTGCAGAGGGTCGTGACACGATCAGGAATGTTACCATTTGCACATGAACTGAGTACAGAAAACAAGGTCTGCAAAATATGTGTTATACTGTTGTGTACAGTGAACAGAAAAGGATTGTGCTGGGTCTGTGTGTCAGGGTTTTGGTAGCAGGGCAGCAGCCACAGGGGTGACTCCTGTGAGGAGCTGCTGGAAACTCCCCCTGCTCCAAAAAAAAGCTGGACCTGCCTCAGACCAAGGTCGAGCCCATCAGTGATAACACCTCTGTGAGTAACATTTTAAGAAAGGGAAAAGGAAACTGCTAAAAAGCTCTGAAGGGGAGAGCAGAGGAGGAGGTGAGAGAAATACCTGAGCAGAGATATCAAGGTCAGTGAGAAAGGAGGGGGAGGTGTCTGAGCAGAGGTTCCCCTGCAGCCCATGGCAAGACAGCAGCTGTCCCCTGCAGGGCATGGAGGAGCATGGTGGAGCAGCCTGTGAAGGACCACAGTGGAGCAGATGTGGACGTGCAGTTGTGAAGGAACCCTGTGCCAGGGGAGGTGGATTCTCACAGAAAAGGCTGTGACTCTGTGGAAAGCCTGCACTGGAGCAGTCTGTTCCTGATGGACTGCACTTCACGGGAGGGACTCAAGTTGGAGGAGCTCATGGGAAAGTCTCTCCCACGGGAGTGACCCTATGCTGGAGCAGGAGCAAAGTGTAAGGAATCCTATCCCTGAGGAGGAAGGAGCAGCAGAAAACAACCTGTGACAAACTGACTGCAACCCCATTCCCTGTCTCCCAAAGCCACTGGTGGGGGGGCAGGCGGGGAGGAGGTGGTAGAGGAATTGGAAACAATTTAATTTGGGCCCAGGAAGAAGTGAGGGGTGGGGAAGGTATTTAAGATCTGGTTTTGTTTCTCATTGTCCTGCTCTGATTTGATTGGTGATAAATTAATTTCCATCCCCAAGTTGAGTCTGTGTTGCCTATGACCATAATTGGTGAGTGAACCCTCCCTGTCCTTGTCTCAACACAACAGCTTTTGGTTTTATTTTCTCCTCCCCGTTCCACAGTGGAGGAAGGAGTGAGCAGCTGCATGGTTCTTTGTTGCTGACTAGGCTTGAACCACAACAAGGGTTCATTTACAGGTGACCTCACTAGGATGGACAGTACAACTCCTTTTACATAGTTCAGGTCCCTGGACACTGAGTGCACTTCTTCTCCTCGAGTGTTTACTATTAACTGTATGAATCTCAACAGAAAAGGTGGATCATCTTCTAAATTTACAGTTATGAACAAAGATTATCAGCCCATGTAGGTCTGAATTACACTATTCCAGCTAGCGCAGTGAATGTGATTGCAACCTGATGTCAACTTTAGCATGTATGGGACAATTGTTAGGACACCTGGAAGCACACATCAGTGGGACTCTCAATATTGTCATTTCCAGAAATAGTGCCACTTTGTGGGTCAAACTGCCAGACCTTTCACAGCTCATGCCTAAACACTCACATCTCACTGCTCTCAAAAGTGAGAAAGTTGGTACATTTCTGACCATTAACGCATCCTCTTGCAGAGACTTCAGAGAAAAGGTTCTTAGATTCCTTCTCATGATTTGCTACATATCCTCTCTGGCACCACGGGGAACATACTTTTTGCTCACTATGCTTCAGCTTTCAGTGGGATACTACCTTGCCTCACTGGGTACTGTCAAAGTAACCACTCAGTGTCATGACGAAAAGTGTATTTCAGCATATCTGAGGTCTGATGAACCTTGTGTAGTGGGGAAAAGCTCTTCCTTTGCCAAAGCATCCTTAATTACTATCACAACTATAGCATTTCAATGTC